AAAGTGCACCTCACTTCATTATTTGTCTTCTCTGTCTCTAAAAAAGGTTTCCTCTATCCCAAATCCTATTCAGGAATGACACCTTATCAGATAAGGTTAATTTCATGAATATGCACTAACCAGTTCTCAATCTCACCATAATGATACATTTAAAATTATACATAACATCCGTTTCTGGCTAAAAAATGGAATACCTTAGACCAAAACTTCCAGTGAGAACAACTAAAGCAGCTTGATGACAAGGAAAAGAAAAAGTTTCAAGGTATCAAAAAATTGCTAAGGCAACCGGGGCTTGACAGACCAAGGTCCTGAAGAAGGGGGAAGAGAGAAGAAGACAGACAACACTTCAGCCATTTTCCCTCAGGGTATCTAGCAATTCCCCCAAGGGAAGAAAAGGAGGATCTGAGGAAACTGGGCAAGCAGAGAGTTATTAGTAAGTAGCCAAACAAACAAACAGAAACAAAAGAACAAAAACCAACTCAGCAGCATTTCTGGCAATCTCATGAGAATAGAGGAATAAAAATAAGAGACTTAAAGGTCCAGAATCTGGTGAAAAGGTAGGGTCAGAGACTGGAGCCTAATATTCATCAAATTTTTCATCAAAATTTTTCATAAATTGCACGTTATGAGAGGATAAAAAGCCAAGCAGAAAGCCAATGAAAAACAAAGTGTAATATTCAGAAATCTCATAATACTGAAGATAAATTAATTAGAATTCAGAACCCACCAATGGGGAAGAGTCCCAGTGAACATACCTATGCTCTCAGTGGGAATCCCTGGAGGGCTAACTATAAAAGCAAAGTAAACAAGATGCATATGAAGCACAGCTCAAAATGGAGCCCAGACTCTAATGGAGAGGTAAACTAACCTTACAAAGATAAAGATTAGAGTTTAGGATCTACCAAGGGAGAAATCTGAATGAACACACTTGGCTCTTGTTTGTAAGCTCTGGAGGGTTATAGCCTGGGAGTGGAGGAGGGACAATGAGAACCCTGCAAAAACTACAAGCCATCCTGAATCATTCAGTCTCTATGGCAACTTCCCCCCACTTTATTTTCCTAGCAAAAAAAAAAAAAGTAAACCCATTGTAGAAGAAAATATCATCCGGAGCCTCTAAGTTTTTTAATACACAATATCCAACACTCAACAAAAGATTATCAGGCATAGCAATGAAGCCTGAATGGCCAAGGGCAAAACACTGAAGAACTGCCAGCAGGATAGTGAAAAAAGGAAAAAAGGGGCATTAGCTAGAATGCATAGAAATTAAGCAGCTTCCTCATTTCCCCCTTTTCTGCCTTTTTTTTTTTCTTTTTTAAGAAAAAAGAACCATGTTATTGCTTCCCTGGTGGCTCAGATGGTAAAGAATGTGCCTGCAATGCTGGAGGTCTGGGATCCATCCCTGGGTTGGGAAGATCCCCTGGAGAAGGAAACCGCACCCCACTCCAGTATTCTTGCCTGGAGAATCCCATGGACAGAGGAGCCTGGCAGTCTACAGTTCATGGAGTCGCAAAGAGTCGGACATGACTGAGCGACTAACACTTTCACTTTTCAATCATGTTACTAAGCAGAAACAGGGAGACAACATTTTACATTTTTTGTTGTTGTTAAACAGTATTCAACTTTGTACTAATTCAATTGTGACAATAAAGAAAAACCTTTACTTTTTGCTCTTAAAAAATAAGTCTAGGCCTTGGTATTTACCTAACAGAGTTAAAAAATAACATCCACATGAAAAACCTGCACATAACTGTTTAAAGCAGCTTTATTCATAACTGCCAAACCTGGAAACAAGCAAGATGTCCTTCAACTTGTGAATGGATAAACTGTGGTTCACCCAGACAATGAAATATTATTCAGTGTTAAAAACAAATGAACTATGAAAAGATTGAGAGAAACTTAAATACCAGTGAAATAAGTCAACATGAAAAGGCTTCATAATGTATGATTCCAACCACATGATATTTTGGAAAAGGCAAAACTTTTGGAGACAGTGAACAGAGCAGTAGTGGCCAGGGGTCAGAGCAGAAGAAGGGATGAGTAGGTAGAACATAAGGTACTTCGGAGGCAGTGAAATTACTCTGTACCATATTATAGTAGCAGATACATGTTTTTATACATTTGTTCAAAAAGAGGAAAAGTATATGACTAAGAGTATATGTTAATATAAACTATGGTCTGGGGGTGATAACAAATATGTTAGTGTGGGTTCATCCACTGTAACCAATGTACCACTCTGACAGGGGATGCTGATAATGGGGAATCTAAGGGTTTATCTGGGGAAAGAAAGCATATGGAAAATCTCCATAACCTCCTAATTTTGTGATAATCCTAAAACTACTCTTAAAAAGACAAGTCTATTAACAAAAATCAATAAAAGTACCAGGGAATGCCAAGATCCAGCACTATATTGACAGAAAATCACAAAAAAATAAATTAATTAAAAACAGACTCAAGGGAATATAGACTATGGGAGTAGGTAGAAAAAATTTTAAACTATGAAAATATAGAGAAAAAATAAGAGAATTTCAATAGAGCACTGAAATCTAGTAGAGTTAAACTAACACCTAACAAAGTAGACCTTAAGGCAAGAAATATTACTAGATACATAAAGAAACATTTAACGATGAGGGAAAATCACAAGGAAGATGCAGCAATTATAAATCTATATGCACTCTAAAATTAAGAACAGAACTTCAATATGATTTCAGCGATTCCATTTCTGAGTATATGTCTGAAACAAATCACAATGTCAAAGAGACACCTGCACACCCATCAATGCAGCATTATTTACAACAGCCAACACGGAAACAACCCAGGTGCCACAGACAGATGAATGAATCAATAAAATGTGGTCTGTGTGTGTATATATACACACACCATGGAACAGTTTTCAACCACTAAAAAAGAACATCCCACCATTTGCAACAATGTGGATGACCTCTAATGGGCATTATGCTAAATGAAATAAGACAAACAGAAAAAGACATGATGTCACTTATATGTGGCATGTAAAAAGTATCCTAAAATACTAAATTCATAGATACAGAGAAAAGACTGGGGGTTGCCAGAGATGGCTGTGGAAGGTGAGTGAAATGAGTGAAAAGAGGTCATCAGGTACAAACTTCCAGTCAGAAAATAATTAATCGGAGTGTAACTGTATAGCTTATACACATTACACCTATACAGTGACTATAGCTTATAATATCAGACAGATGACCCTTGAACAACATGGGGATTAGATGCACCAACCTTCAACACAGTTGAAAATCCACCTATTAACCTACAGTAGCTGTAAAGTCCCCTCTATAGCTGCAGTTCCACATCCATGCATTAAACAAATGGCAGATCAGATAGTACTGCAGTAACATTCACTGAAAAAAAACTGCATATAACAACCCATGATGTTCAAGGGTCAACTGTATTGTATATTTCAGAGCTGTTAAAAGTAAATCTTCCAAGTTCTCATCATAAGGAAAAAAAATATGTATGTATGCTTACAGATGTTATCTAGACTTCTTGTGGCAATCATTTCATAATACATACACATACTGAATTATTATGTTGTACATGTGTATGAGTTCAGTCACTCTGTTGTGTCTGCCTTATACAACCCCATGGACTGTAGCCCACCAGTTTCCTCTGTCCATTCAATTTTCCAGGCAAGAATACAGGAGGACGTTGCCCCTTCCTACTACAAGGTATCTTCCTGACCCAGCGATTGAACTCATATCTCCCTGCACTGGTAGGCAGATTCTTTACCACTGAACCACCTGAGAAGTGCATTAAGTTGTACACCTGAAACTAGTATACAGTCAAGTATACCTCAATAAAAAAATATTAAAAGCAATTCTTTAGTCAGGAGGAAAATTATTCCAGACAGGATAAAAATGCAGTAAGGAAGATGAATAAAGAACACTAGGAGGAATAATTATGTGTGTATGTATAAAAACATTGACTTTAAAAACAATAATAATGTTTGTCAAATTTAAATATAGAATTAAAATGCATTATAACAATAACAACAGGGGGAGAAACTGCCATAGAGTTTTAGATCCTCACAATATAAGAAAACTGATAAAGATAACAATATACATTTTGCTCTGTGTCTATTGTAATCTCTAAGGTAACCTCTGAAAGAATAAAAAAAGTATGTACCTAACAAGCTAATAGAACAATATAATAAACACTGTGATTAATTCAAATAAAGGCAGATGAAAAGAAAAACACAAAATATATGAGACAAACAGAAAACATGTAGCAAGATAGCAGATAAAAAACTAAGTAAATCAGGTGATGTCAGTCAATGGCAGTCAGAAGTTCCTAAAATTCTCCTCCCATACAATAGCAACAAGAAATTGACCCAAAAATGTCAGCAAGAAAGTAAATATACGAGGTGAGTGAGTGAAAGTCGCTCAGCTGTGTCCGACTCTTTGTGACCCCATGGACTGTAGCCCATCAGGCTCCTCTGTCCATGGAATTCTCCAGGCCAGAATACTGGAAGTGGTAGCCTTTCCCTTCTCCAGGGGATCTTTCCAATCCAGGGATCAAACTCAGCTCTCCAGCATTGCAGGCAGATTCTTTACTGAGCCACAAGGGAAGCCCATGTGTGGTGAGGGATATGCTAATTAATGCAACTGTTATAATCCTTTCACAATATACAGGTATATCAAATCACCACACAGTACACTTTAAATATGTTAAAATTCTATTTGTCAATTATATCTCACTACAACTAAAAGAAAACAAAGTAACACTGATAACTTCTTAGCTTACTGTGTACATAAAAAGGTTACTTTTTCCAAATTATATTTAGTATTTTACCTTGTAAGTCAATTTTTTATGCTGACACACCTTTAATTCATAGTCACAAAAAGGATCAGATACTCTAACTACAAGGAAATGCTTTGACTAAAAACATAAACTGCTAAAGCTGCAAATATATCAAATTGAAATGTGTTAAGAAACAGGCATTTCTAAAACATATTTTAAAATAGACATACTTATCCCAACCAAGAGTTCTTATCTCTCCAATAAGGCTTGAGTAGAACTTGGGAGGAGGAGATAGTTCATGTGGTTCTTTTTTATTCTTTAAAGCAACTTCCTGTTTAAAAGAAAAAACTTGAATCAGATGTGGAATGCTACACAATGATTTATTAGTACCTGATTACAAAACACAACTCTTGCACCTAACATGTCCATTATTTTGACAGAAAATCCAGCTTATTTCCCTCCTCATAAAAAAAAAAAAAAGACTAAAAAAGGGGTAAGGGACTGCACCAAAGGTCATGTAAAAAAGTCAATTATTATACCACATAAACTTAAGTCTAATATTCTCCTAGACTATCATGTCTATCACAGATGAATAAGGATCACCAAAAAACAAAGCAAAATCCTTATCCTCAAGGCTTTACTATTTTTCTACCCCTGTGGATATGATGTTTGATAAAGAAACATGCACCTTTAAAGAAAAGCCTGAACTCTATGTACATGGCCTAGACTGATATATTTGTACAGCATTATGAATCACAATCTTACAAACAAAAATCCTTCTTTATCACAATAAGTAGTTAACCTGTTAATTTCCTTTACTGACTTCCACGCTGTATTACTCCCAGACCAGTGAAGCATTTTGCCATCTATCTGGTTAGATCACAGCTTCTTTCCCCACTAACCTATGACATCTTTAAGATGATTTATGTTCCCCTGAACAAAACTAAAATTTACATTTTTTACAAGCAATACAAGCATCACTAGAGTTACTGAGGCTGAAAATTACCAATTACTTCAAAGGTGTTAACCTGGACAATATCTTATTTGGAAAGTAAAAAATAAATGTATATATGAATTACACAGAGGTTCATATGGTTTGGATTATCAAAAGGTATTATAAAAAGTGGGCTTCCCAGATGGCTCAGTGATAAAGAATCCACCTGCCAATGCAGGAGACACAGGAGACCCAGAGTTCAATCCCTGGGTCTGGAAGATTCCCTGGAGAAGGAAATGACAACCCACTGCAGTTTTCTTGCCTGGGAAATCCCATGTACAGACGAGCCTGGCTGGCTACAGTCCATGGGGTTGCAAACAGTCAGACATGACTAAGCACATTATAAAAATTAAAGAAATAAAAATTTTAAAAAAGATATAATAACAAAACCACATAAGAACAAGTATAAAATTATAAAGATTTCTGGTAACCCTAATAAAAAGTATACATTTTTATTCACTTAAATATATTTATTAACATGGACAGAAGGCTATTCAAGTAACACTAGAAAAGACTAAATTTTTACAAAACAGCATTTCAAAAATCAGTACTGCTAACTGAAACTACTTAAATACAGTTCTAAATCTGCTTTAGGACAAAAACAAACAAACCAAACCCTCAAAGCTGGTTAGTAAGGCCTAGAATGTCAATTTGAATTAGAAAGGAAGCTCCTAGAAGACAAAAAGTATACTGCCTTTTCATAAACTACTTAGTGCTATATATAAATAGCCTGATGGTCCACAAAAATTATTAGTATTAAGATTCTCCTGTTACAAATACAACTAACAGGAGTCAGTATAGTTCCTGTACTTACAAACATGTAAGAGTTACACAGTATTTCTTTCTAAATTTTTTTCAATTCAAAAATATTAATTACTGTTATTCACATATACTGAAGATAAAAACAAACTTGGATAATAATGTACTTGGATAAAAAGAGTACTTTAAGCCTAGATTTATGACACTTGTTAACTCTGCCTTCGACCTTGGGTCAGACAAGTTATTCCTATTCTAGAACCATAATAGAGAAAAGGGCAAAGACAGAGAAGCAAAGTGTTCTTTGTGGAGAATGAAGGAAAGGTACTAGAAGAAAGAACACAGGCTTTACAAACCAGGAGTTTAGATCCTAACTTTGAACAATTCCAAGTTTTGAGGCCTTGGAAAAGAATATTAAAAAGAATGTATATACATGCATAACTGAGTCACTCTGCTGTACATCAGAAACTGTAAAATAGTACTTCAATAAAAAAGAAATACTAGAAATGAAAACTCAGATTTAAGAGAAAAGAGATACAAGCATAAAAGTCAAAGAAGTAAAATCCCTATGCCAGATTTGAACTGAAAATATTGAAATGAACACAGGTAAAGGCAAAGGTTTGAACAGTCAAAGCTATGGTTTCTCCAGTAATCATGTGAAAGGTGGACCATACAGAAGGGAGTGCTGAGTGCTGAAGAATTGATGCTTTCAAATTATAGTGCTGGAGAAGACTTTTGAGAGTACCTTAAACAGTAAGGCACCCTTATGGCAGAAAGTGAAGAGGAACTAAAAAGCCTCTTGATGAAAGTGAAAGAGGAGAGTGAAAAAGCTGGCTTAAAGTTCAACATTCAGAAGGAGAAGGGGACGACAGAGGATGAGATGGCTGGATGGCATCACCGACTCGATGGGCATGAGTTTGAGTAAACTCTGGGAGTTGGTGATGGACAGGCCTGGCGTGCTGTGATTCATGGGGTCGCAAAGAGACGGACACAGCTGAGCGATTGAACTGAACTGAACTGACTGAAACAGTAAGGAGATCAAACCAGTCAATCCTAAAGGAAATCAACCCTGAATATTCACTGGAAGGACTGATGTTGAAGTTCTGATATTTTGGCCACGTGATGCGAAGAGCAGACTCATTGGAAAAGACCCTGATGCTGGGAAAGATTGAGGGCAGGGGGAAAAGAGGGTGACTGAGGGTAAGATGGTTGGATGGCATCACCAACTCAATGGACCTGAGTTTGAGCAAACTCTGGCAGATAGTGAAGGACAAGGAAGCCTGGGGTGCTGCAGTCTATGGGGTCACAAAGAGTCAGACATGACTTAGCGATTGAACAACAAATAGCAATGAACATGCTAGTTTCAAGATTGTGGTATCCAAATACCATTTTCTACAAAGAAACCATATCTCTTTGGTAAAACAGGATGAGTGAATGAAACTGGGGCAACTGGTGCCACAAAGTGAAGCTTAGATTGTGTTAAAAGAACTCAGGAGCCAACATGAAAGGACTTAAAATTGACCAAATCTAGTACAATTTAACCATTAAAAAGAAGAATAATTGCAATGGGCTAAAATTAATCAAATATTTTAAAATACAGGGGTTCATAATACTAAAAAATCATTAGCTCCCTTTGAATTCCTAGGCACCAGCTCATTATTCTTAAAATTGATTTAAAAAAAAAAGGAAAAAATCAAGCACTTGTCCTCATTCCAGTATGGGCAAGATATCAAATTTACCAAATAAATGATGAGGGGAACTTCTTTTTTGTAAAATTTTCAGCTAATAAATGTAACATAATGGATTTTTAAAAATCACCATTTGCGACCCCTAACAAAACAGTGGATGTAGTTAATGACCATCATTGGAAGCTAATATCAGTAGGTGATAGGCTAATCAGAAACTTTATATTGGACTGATCTAAACCTATTGATTAATCTTAACTCTATTAAATGAGGAACTACCAGACACCATGTACCTCCTATGCAGAGTATGAAGTATAGAGCATAGTGTATTCTTATCAGGACAACTGAACGCAACTCCATTCAGACCTCTAGATTTAACTGCCAGATTACAAAAAAAAAAAAAGGTAGAATATGTTAAAAGATAGCATGAATATCTAATGAACCAAATTCAGAATGTAGGAAACCTTTTAAAATGCTCCAGTCTCCTTCTCCTAAAGGAGTAGATAGGGAAATATCTTAGGCAAAATTTTGAAGTTCGCTCATGGGTCCATGGGTATTTACTGTAGTTTTCCTTCTTTTGCTAATCAAGTATCTTATGTATCCATGCATGCTAAGTCGTTGCAGTCATGTCCAACTCTTTGCAATCCCATGGACTGTAGTCTGCCAGGTTCCTCTGTCCATGGGAATTCTCCAGGCAAGAATACTGGAGTGGATTGCCATGCTTTCCTCCAGGGGATGTTCCCAACCCAGGGATCTAACTCATGTCTCTTATGTCTCCTGCATTGGCAGATGGCTTCTTTCCCACTAGCACCACCAGGGAAGCCAATTTATACACAGTTAACTGAATAATCAATTGTCTATAACTGTATATATGTAATGAAGCTTAACATGTATTTCAGAAATCTGTAATTTTATATGAAATTATTTATACATTGTACCGTATCTTTAATAGTGATTTTTTAATCTCTGTTGATGTTACATTCTCTAACAGACCAGAAGTACACTTTATTTCTTCACCACCTGTCCAAGTCTAGTGTCAAGTGTACCCACTAAACTGGTTCTTATACACAGTTCTATTCCTCTTGCAGTTCCAGAAAAGTACTATTCACATTTATGCACGAGTAAAATAAAACATTAAATGACTGAGAGTTGAGAAGTTTCAATTCTAATGTTAGTTTTTAAAAGAATTACAAAAACACACCAGATTTACAGAGTATAATGACAGTGTTAAAAAACAAATTCTTACCAAAACCATCTTCAACTCCATCATAAAACTCACTAGATCAGGAGACTGCTGCATTCTCTAGACCAAAACATATTTTTAATTAATTTCATGTGTACAATGAATATTCCATGCACTAGAAATGGAAATTTTTTTAAAGTCCATATAAATATTTTTTAAAAATTAGGTATCCTAAATGTATAAGAACTGAACTATTGGTCATCAACACTATTATTTCTACCAATTTCATTCTGAAAGAGTAATTAAAGCCCTCAATCTAATTTGGTGAGATATGCTGAATTATGTAAGCATGGCACTTAAAGTCTCATACATTACTCTATTTCTTTAGCACTGACTACTGTCAAGTTTAGCAAATCTAGCAAACCACAGCACTATTTTAAAAAACAGTATGAATGGAATGTCAAGAGGAGTATAAAATATAAAAATCAGGCAAATCTATACAATTAAATCTAGTTAGAACAATGAACTAGCTAATCAATAATACTGTCTATTTTAATTTTTTCTTTGACCTTAAAGACTGCCTATAATTGTTATTTTTGTCCTTTCACAACGAACCTGTATTAATTCAAAAGGAGTCAATCTTTCAATAAGGTGAAACAGTTAAAATAATACGACAAACAGGAAATAACTTCTGAAGTACAATGTTAAAGTGTCAGGGCTCCATTTCCTAGAAATCTTTGATTCTTGAAAGAAAATTATTATAAAGTAAAAACAAAAAAATTCTCATTGAAAATTGCTTTACTAGATAAATCTCTACATCATTTCTCTGCCTGAAATCAAAATAATGTTATTTTTGCAAATTTTTCTAATGCACTGCACTACCACCACACAGTTCTGAAACTGATCTGTAAATTTAAGTTTTCAGAGGAGAAAAATGTTAATCTAAAGTATTCAACATTACTCGAGGCATATGATTCATACCTTAATGTAGATTGGTAGGGCACATGTTTGCAGAACAAATCTTTGACTTTCCTTTCTTCTATATATTTCCCCTGAAGTTGACTAGTGATGAGTAATAAATTATACCAAAAGTGTGCAAACTACTGCTCAGAAGCTAAATACAGCCCAATAGCTGTTGTTATTGAGCTGTAATGAAAAGCAGCCACACCTATTCATTTACCTCTTGTCAAAGCTGCTCTGTGCTACAAGGGCAGAGCTATGTAGTCATGACTGAGATCTTAGGGTCCACAAAACCCGTAAAATTCACTATCTGGCCCTTCATAGAAAAGACTGCTGACCACACTTCCCGCCCTGACTCATATTTAATGAAGTTAAAAATGATACCAGGAAAGAACAGTAATGTTCACCTGGACTTTGCAATAAAACAAAGACTAAAACTATAATACTGGGTTCTACAGTATTGGAGGGCAGGGGGGGAGATACATAATTCGGACTTTTTCGAGGAACTCTCTAGGTGAATTGGTGGAGAAAAACTTGTGAAACTTAAGTCTTCATTAAGAGTTTTTCTTCAAGCTATTTAGCTATCTCAGTAGATTCATTTCTTAAACTTCAGTATACAATATAGTCTCAGTGAAAGGGGAGGGGACGGTGGAGAGAACGCAGAGAGAAATCATTTAAACATCCCCTTAAAAATATGCTGTAATTATATTGCCAGCAATGACAGTCTACTTTCTACAGATCAATGTCCTCTATTTCTTTGTAGTTTAGTACTGCTTTAAGTGAGACTAACTGTCATTGTCATTTACCATAGATAATAACCTGCTTTAAGACAGAGAAAACAGAAGATGAGGAAAAACACACAAATTAATAAACCATTAAAAGAAAGGCAGCTTTACTTACATCTACTTTTCTACAAGAGGTATTTCATTATTTTCAGTTGCTTCAGTAACTGATTTGCTTGTTTCTCTAATCTTTAAAAGAATCTTCAGGTAGAGGAACCCTAACACTAAGAATAACTGAATTTGGGTGGGGATGTGGATAAAGTGGGTGAAGGGTGTCAAAAGTATAAACTTATAATTTTTTTTTAAAAATAAAAACTAAATAAATCCTGCCTATATTTCACCTATGCTGCCTTTACATCCACTCTCATTACATATGCATGCCTGATCCTATGTGATTTCCACCCCACCTTTTCTGTTGCTAATCTTGAACTACAATCACATTTTTGCCACAGATATCCTACAACTCCTAAATGGGTCCTGGGATACTTTTCGTACCACTGCTATTCAGGAGGAGAGAGTAAATACATTTGAAGGCCCTGAAGTTCCAAGCATGGAAATAAAATTTCAACACAAATGCTACCTGGAAATATGCTGAGGATTTTAGACTGAAAATATCTTACATAAAATATGGATCCTTAAAATGCTTGATAGAGAAAAAACCTACAGAATTCAACAACTACTAAACCAGTGTGTTTTAACACTTTGCAAAATAGGTTTTTAAAAAGAGCATATTTAGCAACTTCCTAACCTCACTTGGCAAAATGGTTGTCTAACAAGGCCTTAAAAATAGCTGAGAAAAGAAGAGAAGCAAAAGGCAAAGAAGAAAAGGAACGATATACCCATTTGAATGCAGAATTCCAAAGAATAGCAAGGAGAGATCTGAAAGCCTTCCTTAGTGACCAATGCAAAGAAATAGAGGAAAACAACAGAATGGGGAAGACTTGAGATCTCTTCAATAAAATCAGAGATACCAAGGGAACAGTTCATGCAAAGATGAGCACAATAAAGGACAGAAATGGTATGGACCTAACAGAAGCAGAAGATATTAAGAAGAGGTGGCAAGAATATGGAGAAGAACTGTACAAAAAAGATCTTCACGAACCAGATAATCAGAATGGTGTGATCACTCACCTAGAGCCAGACATCCTGGAATGTGCAGTCAAGCGGGCCTTAGGAAGCATCACTACAAACAAAGCTAGTGGAGGTGATGGAATTCCAGTTGAGCTATTTCAAATCCTAAAAGATGATGCTGTGAAAGTGCTACACTCAATATGCCAGCAAATTTGGAAAACTCAGCAGTGGCCACAGGACTGGAAAAGGTCAGTNCTTTGTTTGTAGTGATGCTTCCTAAGACCCACTTGATTTCACATTCTTGGATGTGTGGCTCTGGGTGAATGATCCCATCATTGTGGTTATCTGGGTCATGAAGATCTTTTCTGTATAGTTCTCTGTATTCTTGCCACCTCTTCTTAATATCTTCTGCTTCTGTTAGGTCCATACCATTTCTGTCCTTTATTGTGCTCATCTTTGCATGAATGTTCCCTTGGTATCTCTAATTTTATTGAAGAGATCTCAAGTCTTTCCCATTCTATTGTTTTCCTCTATTTCTTTGCACTGATCACACAGGAAGGCTTTCTGATCTCTCCTTGCTATTCTTTGGAACTCTGCATTCAAATGGGTATATCTTTCCTTTTCTCCTTTGCCTTTCACTTCTTTTCTTTTCATAGCTATTTGTAAAGCCTCCTCAAATAACCACTTTGCCTTTTTACAATTCTTTTTCTTGAGGATGGTCTTGATATCTGCCTCCTGTACAATGCCACGAACCTTCACCATAGTTTTTCAGGCACTCTGTCTTTCAGATCTAATCCCTTGAATCTATTTCTCACTTCCACTGTATAACTGTTGGGGATTTGATTTAGGTCATACCTGAATGGTTTAGAGGTTTTCCCTACTTTCTTCAATTTAAGTCTGAATTTGGCAATAAGGAGTTCATGATCTGAGTCACAGTTCCCAGTCTTGTTTTTGCTTACTGTACAGGGCTTCTCCATCTTTGGCTGCAAAGTATATAATCAGTCTGTTTTTTATATTGACCATCTGGTGACGTCCATGTGTAGAATCTTCTCTTGTGTTGCTGGAAGAAGGTGTTTTCTATGACCCAGTGTGTTCTCTTGGCAAAACTCTATTAACCTTTGACCGCTTCATTCTTTACTCCAAAACCAAATTTGCCTGTTACTCCAAGTATCTCTTGACTTCCTACTTTTGCATTCCAGTCCCTTATAATGAAAAGGACATCTTGGTATTAGTTCTAGACAGTCTTATAGGTCTTCATAGAACCACTCAAATTCAGCTTCTTCAGCATTACTGGTCGGGGCATAGACTTGGATTACTGTGATATTGAATGGTTTGCCTCGGAAATGAACAGAGATCATTCTGTCGTTTTTGAGATTGCATCCAAATAGTGCATTTCAGACTCTTTTGTTGACTATGATGGCTACTCCATTTCTTCTAAGGGATTCTTGCCCACAGTAGTAGATATAATGATCTGAGTTAAATTCACCCATTCCAGTCCATTTTAGCTCACAGATTCCTCAAATGTCGACGTTCACTCTTGCCATCTCCTATTTGACCACTTCCAATTTGCCTTGATCCATGGACCTAACATTCCAGGTTCCTATCAATATTGCTCTTTACAGCATAAGACTTTACTTCCATCACCAGTCACATCCACAACTGAGTGGTGTTTTTGCTTTGGCTCCATCCCTTCATTCTTTCTGGAGTTATTTCTCCACTGATCTCCAGTAGCATATTGGGCACCTCCCGACCTGGGGAGTTCATCTTTCAGTGTCATATCTTTTGCCTTTTCATCCTGTTCATGGGATTCTCAAGGCAAGAATACTGAAGCAGTTTGCCATTCCCTTCTCCAGTGGACCACATTTTGTCAGAACTCTCCACCATGACCCATCCATCGTGGGTGGGCCTACACAGCATGGCTCATAGTTTCACTGAGATAGACAAGGCTGTGGTCCATGTGATCAGATTAACTAACTACTCTCACTTAAAACAAATCTTTTAAAAAAAGGACTTACCTGTTGTACTATGTGATGATATCCATTAAGTACTGTTCTCAGCTGCCAACTACACAGTAATCTAAAATTTTAATGGAACAAAATGGTTTGTTCATTGTTTAGAATTAAAAGGAAAAAACTATTTGTATGCTAACTCCAATATGTACATACATAGAAAAGAAGGACATAATCATAATTCTGACAAGTTAATAAAATTTTTACCACTAGTACTGTTGAAAATCATGTCTTCAAACTGTTGGTACTAATTTTAGTTCAAAATATAAATGACTGCAATCAGCAAATGACATGCAAACAAACAGTACATTTTTTTAAAATTTTAACATATCCAAAGCAATGTTTTCTTGAATTGGATTCTATTCTAAGGTAGGTTAAATAAAACCAACAGTTTTGATCATAATATACAGAACTTGTATTTGAGAAACCAAATGCATTATAACAATCTGTGTTTGTGCTGGCTTAGTCGTGTCTGACTCTTTGAGACTTCATGGACTGTAGCCCGCTAGGCTCCTGTGTCCTTATAACAATCTAATCTTCCTTAAATTCCAGATCAAGGACATACATACTTTCAACTGTTTAAGTAGTGATAAATTAATTTTCATCTATCTACTGGGCTCACCCTCAGCTGCACTCTTAACACTGTTAGTTAACTCTTCTAGAAATGTTTTTACTTACCTCGAAGTAGGAAGTCTGAGTTTTCCCAACCATGGTCTTTTCAAACCATCATGACTCTCCTTTTCTGGTCTGCTAACCCGCATCCTCTCTGCTATCTCCTATCACAGGGGCAGAGGAGCTCATTCGACTGCCCATGAGAAACATCTTCAAATGTACTTTCCACCCCCTGCCACCAACTCAGTCACATCAATTTACTAATTACTCCTTTACTGCGGTAGCCTTACTTTCCACTAGTGTTTTTTCCACTGTAGCTTGTTTAAGCAAATCTTATTAAGAAAACACGTAATTATAACTCTTCCTTGACTGCACACCCTTCTCTAGCCACTCCTGTTCTTCAAAGTAGTTTATACTGTTTACATTTCCTTTCTACCCACTCCAAAAACCCCAATACAAGCCGACTTCAACCACTACATGAAAGTTGCAATCTAAACTGACCCCTTTGCAATACTAAGCAATGTTAACCACTCTGACTTTTAAGCTGCTCTTTCTGTGGTTTCAGAAACAACTGTCCAGGTTTTCCTGTTAAATCTGGTCAATGCTTTGTCTTCTTCCAAGGTCTTTTTTATTTACCACACCTTTAAATGTTGTTATGCGCTCAAGATTATGTCACTGGCTTTCTCTTCTCACTCTATCCATGCAGGAAAACCTATCCACATTCATGGCCCCAAATCCCATGCCTACTGTGACTTCTACGTACATCTCCACTCCAAACTTTATGCTTAAGTTCCCCACCAAAACACTGATACCTACTAAAATGTCCTCTTCATACTCCACATCTGATATGCCTTAAAACAATTCCCCTTGGACTTCTTCCATCTGTGACCTCTTATTTGAGTTAGGAATTTGCAAAGAATCCTCCGCTCCTCTCCCCCTCTTATCCCCCACTTCTGATCAGTCACAAAATCTTGTCAGTTCTACTGGTAACTGTCTCTGGATTCTTCTTCCCTTCCTACCCTCAGAAAAATTTTGGAGCAGAAATTAGATTTTAGGTGCTACCTAAATTTCTATTTTCATCTCTTGACATTCCTTGAAGGGCTGTCAATACCTATAGCCCACGTTGACACCTAATTTCTATCAGGGCAGAACTGATATTGTGGGGCTTCCCATGCCTGAACAAACATATAATCAACATCAGTCAAAAGTTGGAAACAAAGTTTTCTAATTATTTTCTATTCTCCAAATATTTTCACTTGTTGTTTACTGCTTTAGATAAAAAGTAAATTAAGACTGTGCTGCTGTGGAAGAGCACTTCAACACCACAGAAAATCATTTAAAAAGCACACTGATTTGCAAACTCAGAAATGCTTCTGTTTAAATAATTAATAAGCAGAACTCTAACAAACAATCAGCTTACACAGATGTGACTGCCCATCCCAGCAAGATGCCTGTAGAGTATACAACAAGAGATCACATTACCTTGCATTCTTCAGCTGCAAGTCTTTGGGCAGCAATAGTCTAAGGTGGAAATCTCTTCCCTGTGGAAAACATTAAAAAGGTGCACTCAAATTAAGAGAAATCAATCAGAATCATATTAAAAAGGCAACATTTTGCTGTATTTTCTAAAAGGTATCAACTTTATTCAAATACTTGTTAAAATATAAGCAACAAAATAGTGCATTTGAGGGAAAATAACTCAAAAATGTACCAGGAACTTTTGTGATTACTGGGTAATCAAAACACTGAGACAGGATTTTGTTTTTAAAGAAAAAGTCATTCACATAAATAAGAAATACTAACCAATTGTTATGCATATATAAAGGAGAAATTTAAGTGTTATTTCTTAGGAAATAAATTCAAGAAAAAAGAAATTCCTTCAAACTGATTTGAATATAGGAGAAAAAATCATGACATACCCCATATTTGTAGTTTTCCAAATTTTAATAAAGTAAAAATATATTTAATCTTAATATACAGACATCACAGAAATATTTTCATAAATCAGAGTTTATGTTCTGATAAATTTAGTTCTTCCACACTTGCAGACCTTTAATAAATAAAATCCTTGAAACACTGTTACTTATTTTAATTTAAATATTCATTAACTATAATCTGAAAAGACTAAATTTTACTCAAAAGTCTAAGGAAAAAATGATAGTTCTCTGAGAAATATACTGTTTTACTTTCCTGAGAAAATGAATGGGTAAGCAGCTTAAACTTTGTACCTTAAATAGCATAATACACATGAAATCTAAGCAAAGGTAAGCAGAAAAAGACAAACAGAAATATAATCTTTTACTCCAACAGTATAAAATGAAAAAGAGTAATAAAATTCTTGAAAAACAATTACCACGAGAATTTTATCAGAATCTCCCTCAAAGCAGTTTCAAAAATAGAGGAACACAATTAAATGTACCCCATAACCTTTACTTTCATGGTAATATTGCAGTTCTGACTTTCATTACATTTAAATGTCCTTTAAAAAAATGAAACAAAATGTACTACTGACCTTTTCAAAAGGTCAAGTAACAATAATTCACTATTTCATTAAACCACTAAAAGGTATTATGTAGTAACCTTAACCTAACTTTATAGACATCCCACACATAGGTGTAAGAACAATCTGGAACTCAAAATTTACATGAAAAATAGTAAAACTACTCTACTCATCTGTTATGTAAAATAATAAAATTCAAAGTCCCTTATTTGCAAAATCCAACCATTTTAAAAGTCAAATGCCATGTCACATGCCATAATACTTTGATTCAAGAAAATGTCTAAAATTATCTTTTTTTAGTTAAATCATAAGGAAAAAATATGTTAACTGCTCTCATGAAGACTTTCCAAATTTACAGCAAACAAAAGTATCGACAATTGCCTAAATCTGAATCTCTCTACATATCATTCCCAAAAAATAAGTACATTAAAATTAAGAGCAAATAGAACCACAAAAACCCCCTGTCTTAGGCAGAGGCAGAAGACAGAGAAGAGTTTAAACTTCAAAACTGCCTGTGAGAAGAAAAATACAAACCACTGTTCAATGCCTTCCATCCTGGGGCTCCTACATCAAGTCCTTTGAGAGAGCTAGGGGATTCAGGAAATTAAAAAAAAAAACAGAAAACAGAAGAGGGGATTAGATTATGTGTGAAAAATAAAAGAATTAGCAACATAAAAGTCAAGGGTCTCACCTTGGATAAGAACTGTAAAAGTAGAAGACGGTAAAAGGGCTATCCTTTGGAAATGGTGTTAAGAGGAAAAAGTACCAACTATGGGAAACTGAGGCTCTTACATAACATTAAAAACGTTGGATTCTTCCTTCAACACTTCCAAAAACAATCATCCATCAAGTGAACTGCATTTTGCAGACAGAAGAGAATAGTGTTTTAAATCAGAGTGTAGTTGCTTTACACTGCTGTGTCAGTCTCTGCTGTACAGCAAAACGAATCAGCCATACATATACATAGATTCCTTCATTTCTGGATTTCCTTCCTATGTAGGTCAAAAGAGGGTATTCTTGAGGAATTTAACAAATTACTGCAGCCCACAGTTGACAAACACAAAGATAATGTCTCCATTAATGCTAAGCTCAGTTCAGTTCAGTAGCTCAGTCATGTCCAACTCTTTGCAACCCCAAGGACTACAACACACCAGGCCTCCCTGTCCATCACCAACTCCTGGAGCTTGCTCAAACTCATGTCCATTGACTCGGTGATGCCACCCAACCATCTCATCCTCTGTCATCCGCTTCTCCTCCTGCCTTCAATCTTTCCCAGCATCAGGGTCTTTCCCAATGAGTCAGTTCTTCCCATCAGGTGGCCAAAGGATTGGGAGTTTCAGCTTCAGCATCAGTCCTTCCAATGAAAATTCAGCACTGATTTCTTCTAGGATGGACTGGTTGGATCTCCTTGCAGTCCAAGAGACTCTCAAGAGTCTCCTCCAACACCACAGTTCAAAAGCATCAACTCTTCGGCACTCAGCCGAAGTTTATAGTCCAACTCTCACATCCATACATGACTACTAGAAAAACCATAGCTTTGACTAGATGGACCTTTGTAAGCAAGTAATGCCTCTACTTTTTAAGATGCTGTCTAGGTTTGTCATAGCTTTTCTTCCAAGGAGCAAGTGTCTTTCAATTTCAGAGCTGCAGTCACCAGCTGCAGTGATTTTGGAGTCCAAAAAAATAAAGTCTGTCACTGTTTCCATTGTTTCCCCATCTATTTGCCATGAAGTGATGGGACCAGATGCCATGATATTAGTTTTCTAAATGCTGAGTTTGAAGCCAACTTTTTCACTGTCCTCTTTCACTTTCATCAAGAGGCTCTTTAGTTCTTCTTCACTTTCTGCCATAAGGGTGGTGTCATCTGCATATCTGAAGTTATTGATATTTCTCCCAGCAGTCTTGATTAAGCTTCATCCAGCTCAGCATTTCTCATGATGTACTCTGCATATAAGTTAAATAAGCAGGGTGACAATATACAGCCTTGACATACTCCTTTCCCAATTCTGAACCAGTCTGTTGTTCCATGTCCAGTTCTAACTGTTGCTTCTTGACCTGCATACTACTATGACCTGCTAAGCTACTATGAGACAAAAACAAAATGTGGAGAGACAGATGGGAGGGTGATTCAAGACGGAGGGGACATCATGTATAGCTATGGCTGATTCACATTGATGTATGGCAAATACCATCACAATACTGTAAAATAATTGTCCTCCAAATAAAATAAATAAATACATTAAAAAAAAATAAGAACTGAGACATTTCAGGTGATGACAATCCCTCAACATAAACAAAAACCACAAGGCATAAACAAATTACAATACTGAATTAAACATTTTTTGGTGAGCATTTGCACCCAGATTCAGAAATTTTAAAACCTCACAACAGAAACTGAAGGGGAAAAAAATACAAAATAATATTAAAATGGAAGGATAAATTAAGAGTTGTTCAAAGAAGAACAGAGTAAAATAGAAATTTCAAAAAAGACAAAAAGGTAAGAAAATGACCAAATGAGAAAAAATTAAAGACCACCTGAGAGAAGCAACTGAAGTGGAACACAAGAAAAAAAACCCAATAAGAAAAAGATCAAATAACATATGGGAAATAGAATACTGGCACCAGACATCTTAAAACAAGACTTTAAAAAGCCACAGTAGAACAAACTTTTAATAGTCTTAGTGAAAATGCTCAATGAATAATATATAATTCAGTATTCCTTTAAGAAACTGAAAGGGAATTGAAAGGGAACTAATATATTAGTTTATATAATGGAACAACAGGGAAGGATTTATTTTCCCAGGTTAACTAAAAGACTGGACAAAATATCTGAAACAATGATTTTTAGACATCAAACAACAGGCAGCACAGGACAATGACCCTTGAAAGAAGGGACACAAAGGAGAAAAGTCTCTGTAATTGGCCAGCCTGGAGAATTTTCAGGCTGCAAGGCAAGGATGAAGAACCAAATAGAGCCTAACATTTTCTATTATTTGAGAAGACAGGCATGAGTAAGGGGAGGCCAAGGCATGTAGAATTTACAAGGTACAGTACAAAAGAGGAGAGAAATAAACAGAGAAAAATTACACAGAGAAAAATTCTACAGAACTTCAGAGAATTCCTAAAAAGAGTTCTTCAGCTGAGTACTGATTGCCACAGGATGTGAGAAGACCTGCCTAAAGATGGGGAGATAAGAGACTATCTCAAGGCACTCACACAAGGCTAACAGAAATCATGCTCTAACCAACCAGAGTGGAAAACCTTGCACTGTAAGAGCTATTAACCAGTACTCGTAAGAGTGTTGTCTCAGTGGTACAACCAAATCTCTAGGCTCAAGTCTGTTCTGTTTCAGCTTAACAAAGCGTAAAAGCAAACCTTGGGAAGATCATACTGTTTCCAAGTAATTTAACAGTTGTCATTCAGTCACTAAGTTGTGACCAACTCCTTGTGACCCCATGAACTACAACACGCCAGCCTTCCCTGTCTTTCACTATCTTCCAAAATTTGCTCAAACTCATATCCATTGAGTCGGTGATGCCATCCAACCATCTCTACTTGTTGCCCCTGTCTCCTCCTGCTCTCAATCTTTCCCAGCATCAAGGTCTTTTCCAATGAGCTGGTTCTTTGAAATAAAGAATATTTAAGAGAACAAAAAATATCATACAACCAGTGGAATGCACAATGTATGTCATCCAATCAAAATATACCAGGTATGCAAAGCAGAAAAATAAGATTAAAAAGAGAAAAATCAAGAGAAACAAATATAAAAATGGCAGATGATAGAGCTTCCCCTCCCACACTTAAGCAGTTATAACTGTATTATGTATGTTCAAGAAGGTAGAGGAAAGCATCAGCATGCTAAATAGACACAAAAAAGCAAAAAGACCCAAGTTGAAGAGATGAAAAATACAATCTCTGAGATGAAAAATATGTTACAATGCAGTTATTAACAGATTAAACCTTGAAAACAATATATTTGTGTACCTGAAAACACAGAAGTAGAACATCCAAAGCAAGCAGAGAAACTGACTGGAAAAAAGAAAAAAAAAAATCAATGAATTATGGCACAACTTAAAGTGGCTTAATATGCATGTATTTGGAGTCCCCAACACAGGAAGCCGGAAGGAACAAAAAGCTTTTTGAAGAAATAATGGCTGAAGTTTTTCCAAATTAAATGAAAATACAGATCCAAAAAGCACCATAAACCCTATGAAGGAAAAATATGAAGAAAACTACACCAAGGAACATCACAATCAAATTGACAGAAACCAATGAGAAAAATATTAACAGGCAAAGAAAAACAATACACTTACAGAGAATCAAAGATGAAGAGATTTCCCATACATAATAAAACAAGACAATGAAACAAAACTGCTAAAGCACTAAAACAAAAAGTCAACCTAGAACTTTATACCCAGTGAAAGTATCTTTCAAAAGGCCAAATAAACAATTTTTGAGACATAAAACAGCTGAAGAATTCATCACCAGCAGACATGCACTACAAGAAATGTTAAAGGAACAAGTTTAGGAAGAAAGTGAATGAGTCCACAGGTAACAAAGACCTGGACATGACTGAGTGGCTGAACAACAATAACGACAAAATAAAACAAGATGGAAATCTGGATATACAACAAAGAGTATCCGAAACAGTAAATATATAGATAAACATAAAAGGCTTTTCTTATTTTTTAAAATCTCTTTAAAGCATAATTAATTGTGCCAAAGCTGAAATAACTTAAGCAACAAATAACGCAGTGCTAGAATAAAATTCAAAATATAAAATATCTGTATGCCCATACTGATATAAATGATTGAATTAAGAAATGGAGAAATTAATCTCCCATACAGAAGAATTCCAGATAAATTACCATTGACTTGAACAACATGAGTTTGAATTGTTCAGGTCCACTTACACATGGATTTTTTTTTTTACAATAATTACATACTGTAGTACTATACAATCTGCAGTTGGCTGATCTCACAGATGCAGAACCATGGATAGAGAAAGTAGACTATAAAGTTATACATGGATTTTCAAGCCCATGAGGTTTAGCACCCTTAAGCCTTGCATTATTCAAGGGTCAACTGTATATAGATACCCCACTTGAAAAGGGAGGCAGCATAATCCCCCAGTTCTTAATGAGGGCCGCTCACAGTGACTTCCTGCCAAAGAGTACAGTATGGAAAGGAGTGGGAAAAGCGACTTCCCAGAAGGGAACCCACAAATAAACTTCAGCCAAGTGATCAAGGTCAACGTCAACAGACATAAATCATGTTGATAATACATACCCTTAATATGATGTGATGAAATGGTATTCAAACTTTGCAATGTTTCTCTCAAAAACCCATAAAGCCTAGTCATGAGAAAAAAGGCAAATCCTACTAGAGCAGTGTCCTACAATAAACTTGACTAGAATTCCTCAATTAAAACGGTCATTTCATAATCATAAAGGAGTCAGAGTCATCAAGGACAAGGAAGGGCTAAGAAATTATCACAGCTCAGAGAAACCTTCATGGCAAATAAATGGGGAAACAACGGAACAGTGAGAGACTTTATTTTGGGAGGCTCCAAAATCACTGCACTTGCTGACTGCAGCCCTGAAATTAAAAGATGCTTGACAAACCTAGACAGCATATTAAAAAGCAGAGACATTACTTTGCTGACAAAGGTCCATCTAGTCAAAGCTATGGGTTTTCCAGTAGTCATGTGTGAATGTGAGAGTTGGACTGTAAAGAAAGCTGAATGCTGAAGAATTGATGCTTTTGAACTGTGTTGTTGGAGAAGACTCTTAAGAGTCCCTTGGACTGCAAGGAAATCCAACCAGTCCATCCTAAAGGAAATCAGTCCTAAATATTCATTGGAAGGACTGTTGCTAAAGCTGAAACCCCAATCCTTTGGCCACCTGATGTGAAGAACTGACTCACTGGAAAAGACCCTGATGCTGGGAAAGATTGAAGGCAGGAGGAGAAGCAGATGACAGAGGATGAGACGGTTGGATGGCATCACCGACTAGATGGACATGAGTTTGAGCAAGCTCTGGAGTTGGTAATGGACAGGGAGGCCTGGCTTGCTGCAGTCCATGAGGTCACAAAGAGTCGGACATGACTGAGCAACTGAACTGAACTGAAGAGAAGCCTAAAGAGACAAAATAACATGGCATCTTGGATCACAACCCAGAACAGAAAAATATTAAGTAAAAACAAAGGAAATATGAATAGACTATGGACCTGAGTTAGGACAGGAAAGCCTGACATGCTGCAGTCTATGGGGTCACAAAGAGACAGACACGACTTAGCAACTGAACAACAACAAATGGACCCAAGTTAATAATTGCATGCGTGCTCAATCACTCAGTAGTGTATGACTCCCTGAGACCCCACTGACTACAGCCCACCAGGTTCCTCTGTCCATGGAATTCTCTAGGCAAGAATAATGGAGTGGGTTGCCATTTCCTTCCTATGGATTAATAATAATGTACCAACATTAGTTCATTAATTGTAATAATTATATCATACTAATATAAGATGTTAATAACTGGACAAACTGTGCGGGGAAGGAGATGGTACATAAGAACTCCTTTTACCACTTGCTCAATTTTTCTATAAATCTAAACTGTTTTTAAAAAATAAGTCTATTAATTTAAAATAGCTAATTGGCTGCTTAAAAGAAAATTAACAATGTATTGGAAAGGTTATAAGATAAACAGAAATAAAACATATGACAACAACAGTACAAAAACCAGGAGATGAAAGATACAAGTAAAGCACTGTAAGATTCTTAAACTATAAGGGAAGAGGTATACTTGAGAATAGACTTATGGTAAGTTAAAGATGCATATTGTAAACCCTAGAGCAAACACTAAAAAGGAGAGACAAAAGTAATATAGCAACTATTTAAGGGAAAAAAACAGGTAAAAAGCTGACAGAAGAGATACATTATAGAAAAAGAACTCAAATAATGTAATATGCAGAAATTAGTCAAAATATTAAAAAAATAACAAAACAAAAAGCAAACAGCTAGATATTAGGTTTACGCACAACCATATCAACAATCAACATTAGATGAAAAGGGTTACACAACCCCAAGTAAAAAGCAATGATTATCGGATTGGATAAAAAAGCATGGCCCAAAAGAAATACACTTTAAATTAAACATAAAGAAACAAATAAGAATAAATGAAAAAAGAATGAAATGAGAGTCCATGCCACACTAATGAAAAAAGAATCCATGCCACACTAACCCAAAGAAAACATACTATTAGTATCCAAAAATACAGATTCCAAGATTCCAAAGATTATTACCAAGGATGCTGCTGCTGCTGCTAAGTTGCTTCAGTCGTGTCCAACTCTGTGCGACCCCATAGACGGCCAGCCCACCAGGCTCCCCCGTCCCTAGCGTTCTCCAGGCAAGAACACTGGAGTGGGTTGCCATTTCCTTCTCCAATGCATGAAAGTGAAAAGTGAAAGTGAAGCCGCTCAGTCATGTCCAACTCCTAGTGACCCCATGCACTGCAGCCTACCAGGCTCCTCCGTCCATGGAATTTTCCAGGCAAGAGTACTACAGTGGGGTGCCATTGCCTTCTCCAATTACCAAAGATTAAAAGGATAATTCCAGAATCATAAAGGAGTCAGTTCAGCAAGAGTACTTACAATCCTAAAAGTTTATGTACCTAAAGAACTTCAAAGTACACGATGGAAAAACTGACAAAAAATGAAAGTAGCAATAGAAAAAAAACAAACATAATGCAGCCCCTCTTTATCCAGTTTCACTTTCTGTAGTTTCAATTACCTGTGATCAACTGAAAATATTAAATGAAAAATTTCAGAAATAAACAATTCGTAAGTTTTTAATTGTGTACCATTCTGAGTGGTGTGACAGAATCTTGTGCTGCCACACTCCATTACACCCAGGACTGAATCACACTCTGTCCAGGGTATCAGCCTGTTAGTCACTTAATAGCTGTCTCGATGATAAGATCCACTGTCCAAGTATCTCAGTGTTTGTTTGCAAATAATCCTTATTTTACTTAATGCTGCTGTGCTGTGCTTAGTTGCTTAGTCGTGTCAGACCCTTTGTGATGCCATGGACTGTAGCCCGCCAGGCTCCTCTGCACACAGGGATTCTCCAGGCAAGAATACTGGAGCGGGTTGCCATGCCCTCCTCCAGGGGGTCTTTCCAACTCGGGGACTGAACCCAGGTCTTCCGCATGGCAGGTGGATTCTTTACCATCTGAGCCACCAGGGAAGCCCAAGAATACTGGGGTGAGTAGTCTATCACTTCTCCAGGGGATCTTTCCCATCCAGGAATCGAACTGGGGTCTTCTGCATTTCAGGCAGATTCTTTACCAGCTGAGCTACCAGGGAAGCCCCATTTACTTAACAATGACCCTTAAATTCAAGAGTAGAGAGAAGGACAATTTAGATATTCTCTTACTGTGCCTAATGTATAAGTTGAACTTTATCATAGGTATGAATACATTGTAAAAAACAGTACATATAGGGTTTGGTACTATCCAGTTTCAGGCATCCACTGGGGCCTTGGAATATACTCCTGCAGACAGAGCTGAACTAACGTAGCAGGAGCGGAGGCTGTGCGGCACAGGAGCGGTAGCGAGGAGATACCACACATCGAAGCTGAGGAGTGGCGTTCAGGAGGAGATACCCCACGTCCAAGGTCAGGAGCAGAGGCTGTGAGGAGATACCCCACAACCAAGGTAAAGAAAACCAAGTAAGATGGTAGGCACTGAGAGAGGGCATCAGAGAAACCACAATCACAGACAACTAGCCAGTCTGATCACATGGACCAAAGCCCTGTCTAACTCAATGAAAATAAGCCATGCCTTGTGGGGCCATCCAAGACAGACAGGTCTTGTGGAGAGGTCTGACCGAATGTGGTACACTGGAAAAGGGAATGGCAAACCACTTCAGTATTCTTGCCTTGAGAACCCCATGAACAGTATAAAAAGGCAAAAAGAATACTGAAAGATGAACTCCCCAAGTTAGTAGGTGCCCATATGCTACTACTGGAG